AATATTACCTACAAATTGTTCAACATAGTTATAGTTTAAATGTGGTTTATACATTGCGTATAATATACATTACAATATTTGTAGAAAATATTCAAAGTAGAATATAATACAGGCATGGGCATAATATTTGAATAAATATATTTTAAAAAAATGATTATTTAAGTAACACATCATTTCATTTGGCAATCGACTGCCAAACATTAATACTCCAAATCCTTTGTTCGATTTCTAAAAATCAAAAATCGATAGGTAGCATTAACATTCTGGTAAACTTTTGCATAATTTTGAGGAGAGTGTATGCATAGTTTGTGATGTCTATTTAATACTAAAATTATCACATACACATAGTTTGACGAATTTTGCTAAAGTGGATCACGTTGTGGTTGCGGTTTTCTGGAAACTTTACACAACGTTGTGTTTTTACCCAGTTTTTCAATTTTCCGATCATCAAAGAAAATTACTTCGCGACATAATTTAAAGAGCAAAGGTTTGCAGAATTGAAAGCTCTTGTGAAACGTACGCGTACGTGGTTTAAAAGTGATTAGAAAAAAATATATAAATAGTTAGATAAAGGGAATTCTTAGAAATTGATATAAAGATTATCGTGATTAGTTCAAGTAGTCTTATCGAGACCGGATGAGAATTCCGAGATTTTATTTTATCGATTGATCTCTTGTTAGTTGTAAAATTTTAACGAACAATTCAACAGATAGGCGTTCGATACTATCTTTAATAGCCAACTTCACTTATTTTTATTTATTTACTAAAATGGTTAATTCTTTATTTAATTAATGTATTTCTCGTGTTCTATTTAATTAATTAATCTATGACAATGTAATTTAATTTCACAATAAATTCTAACTAATTATACGGTGAACGATTAATTACACATTAAATTAAACGATAAATACTATTGGTGATTTTCGATAATATATATATACTCGTTCAATTGAAGCAAAACGTATTCAAGTTCCATTTGTTCGTGTCAGAACCCAACAAAAGAGACGAACACGCACGAATGTTGCTAACCCAGTTGTCACAAATTGGCCAAACATCCGGACAATTATAATCGATAAGAGTGATTAATTCTGCGGCAAGAAAAGGCCCTGGCCGAGCACACTGATAAATAATTACGCAATCCACGTTGACAAACAGTAATTAAAG